CTCTATCTCAGCTAAAGTTGTAGCTTTTTGTAAGTATGTATTTAGAGTTTGAATATCTGGTGGTATAAGAGGAGTTCCAATGCCTTTACCGAAAAATTATTGTGAATACAACTATACTGAACTCCCTGATCTACCAAGTGACCCAAAAGATGTATTCACAATTAATCTTACTTTGTTAATCTCATCTCCCAAAGAACTTATAATCACTGCAAGAGCACTAAGGGAATACTATTTCTTCCATAGTATACCACAGGAATGGATAAATATTCCTACAAAAGAACTAGATATAAATTCTAGAGACCTACTATCAACACTTAAGGACCTACAAACTATCATAGAAAAAAGAGATATAAAGGATATCTGTATACCAATCACAAAACATCAAGATATACTAAATACTTTGGAAAGAATTAGGGAGCACTTTGATGTTAGCTACTTTTTTAATTATATCTTTGAACTTCCTGACTTACCTTCTCCAGACTGGGACATTTTTACAGACCCACCTATCAACATACCACTAACTCCTTTAGGTTCCTCGGAAGCAGAAGTAGAGATGCAATACAATTAATCATGTCTATAAACACAACGAACAATATATCTCCACTCATGGACACAACATCAATACCTGACACTAATATCAAAAAAAAGATAAACATAATCACATACAATATAAGAGAACTCAACAATATATTAAAACTACAAGAATAGATCACATATTGCTACAAACAGGACTTTCACATAATTGCCCTTACTGAAATGAAACTTAAAAATGTTAATGAGATTGCTCTTACTAACTCACTATATAAGTTTTATACTTCAAACTATATTCCTTTACACATTAAACAACAAGAGGTATTACTCAGCACTGCAATCATAGTACATAATAAGTTACAGATATATATACATAACAGTATAACTTATCCTGGAACTGCAATCTGCATCGACTTTTTCTTCCCTGGAAACAACAAAACACGTCTCATCTCACTATATCTACCTAACGACCATGCAGATTTACTTAAACGAACTCAAAGACAAACAGCCTTATGGATCTCAGAAGCAAAAAACAAAAATTAGAATAGTATAGTACTAGGTGACTTCAATACAAATAAATCAAGAAAAGACAAAAATATTACTATTTTCTCTGATCTTACTGCAAGTCATCACCTAAGCCTAATAAACTCGTTTAATATTACAACTCCAACTTGGAAATATGAAAACAGCTACAGTAGTATTGATGATATATGGATATTAACTGACCTACTACAAAAGTTTGACATACCTACTCTGACTGAAGCAACTAGCATCACTGATAGTGATCATATTATTCTATCTACTACATAGCATACAAATTTCACTTGTTCAAATCCTAAAAACAAGAAAAAAAAAATGAAAATCCTTCTCTATGAGAAGATGAACAATAAAAAATGAGAACAATTTGCAGAAAATATTCAAAATAAAATATTAACACAACCTAACTATACTTCTATTCCAGATAAGACTGCACTAAATAAGTATTGACATATATGGTCTACTTCAATCAAAAAGGCGATTAACAAACATATCCCATGTACCTACAAAGCACCCAAAGCTTTTAACACTCTATTACTAAAAGCAGTGTTGTCGTTGGACAGCCTTTGGACATAATCTTGGACATCTTGGACATTTTGAACAAAAAATAAACTGAATTTACTCAAAATTTTATTAAGATAATCTATTTAAACTTCTTAAGCAAAAATGTTTAGAATTA